ACATCAGCCAATCAAAATCTCTCAGCATCTGTGACATCAGCCTGTCTTACAGTGAAAGATATCAAATGTTGGCTACTTAGAACAAAAGTTAACATGTGCCACAACACACAGCAACATAATATCTACAAATCTGTAAATTTGTAAATTATTTGTAAATCTGTGAAAGTGTCTGAATGTAGCTAATCTATGTAATGTGTTCAGTATTGAGAGATTAGTTCAGAAAGATTAACTCTGTCTAACTTGTTTGATGATGATGGACTCAGGACAACACATGATGATGATGATGCTGATGATGATGGACTCAGGACAACACATGATGATGATGATGCTGATGATGATGATGATGATGATGATGATGATGGACTCAGGACAACACACACAATGATGATGATGATGATGAAGATGGACATTACTACACACATGATGATGATGATGATGAAGAAGATGGACTCATTACTACACACATGATGATGATGATGATGATGAGGATGGACTCATTACTACACACATGATGATAAAGATGGACTCAGGACAACAAACATGATGATGAAGATGGACTCATTACTACACACATGATGATGATGAAGATGGACTCATTACTACACACGTGATGATGAAGATGGACTCAGGACAACAAACATGATGATGAAGATTGACTCATTACTACACACGTGATGATGATGATGAAGATAGACTCATTACTACACACGATGATGAAGATGGACTCATTACTACACAAATGATGATGAAGATGGACTCATTACTACACACGATGATGAAGATGGACTCATTACTACACAAATGATGATGAAGATAGACTCATTACTACACACATGATGATGAAGATGAAGATGATGATGATGATGATGATGATGGACATTACTACACACATGATGATGATGGACTCAGGACTACACACATGATGATGAAGATGGACTCAGGACTAAACACATATGACGATGATGACGATGGACTCAGGACTAAACACATGATGATGATGGTGAAGATAAAGGGCAGAGCTTTGCTGAAGGAGCCATTAGACCAGCTGGATTTTGAGTTGTTGGCTGAAAAGGATCCATGAGCACTGTAATGTGCAGTTGTGTGACAGAGATGAGAAAAGATAGGAGATAATCAAGAAAGCTCCAGGGAACAGGGATACCCAGGATATACACTGAGGGTAAATTCCAAATCACCAGCATAGCCTCGAAAGCAAGGAGAACCCAAGACTGCACCCAGTAAACACAGAGCCAGCACTGGGCTGACACAGGTGGCAGGTTCACTCTGATTACTGCGAGGCTGCTCCCTGCCTCCCTCTGGTGGTGGTAGTAGGTCTGGCCCAGGCTGGGTGCCAGTGCTTTTTCCTCTGCAGTGGATGGAGGATTTCCTCTTGTTCAGGCATTTTTGTCAGGGTGTTGTTTGATGGATCAATATGTAAATTGAGTGTTATTGGATTTTATTGTCATTGGATTGTGTGTTTTAGACCTTGTTAGTGATGTTGACTATAGGACAAATACATAGACAAAAAGGATCAAATCAGTGTAGTTACATCTTTACTATTAATCACTAAATAAATGGATTATCACATTCCTCACTCTTGATCAATAAGCAAATCATAAACCTGGAAGTAAATACTAAAAACATACAACAATAAAAATATATAAAAGAATAAATGAATTAACATGATGGATACAGTAGAAAAAATTTACAGCATAAACTAAACCTACAAAAAATGTAAATTGATATCATTTCCAGGCATTTACACTACACAAAACACAGAAACCACAGTCAACACAGCCAATAAATCATTAAATAAATTACTATTATAGTTCGTCATCATCCAGAGAGGGTAGGATTGTATTTGCCTGAGTAAGGAAACAAATCCAGATAATCATGATTCATGATTTATGACGTTCAGTAACAGACAGTGGAGGAGTTACTGCCACCACGAAACAGATACCGAACCAGTGAGGTGGTAGTTGACCCTGCACACCCAGTACATCCCAGCTGGAAATGAGTTAAAAGATGTGAAGCCCCACATTGGAAGGGTTGAATGTTAGATGTTTATCAGAGTTTGGATAGAATATTTTTGCGTAATTCAGATGTGTATTTAATCATTATATTGACCACATCCCTCAGAGGTTCTTCAGTGTCTGGAATCCTGTAAGGTGAAGTGTTCACATGCATAGACTATTTCAAATGGTGGAATATGAGTCTCTCTCTTAGCTCGTCCTCTAAAGGACATGAGTACCAGTGCTAAAGCCTGTACCCAGTTCAGATAGTGTCCACTTGTCAGAAGATATTTTCTTTGGAATGCCCCATCTTGGTATCACCTCTCTTATCAGACATTTTGCCACCGTGTCAGTGGTTTGGTATGGCATAGAAAACATACTGGGAACATCGAAAATATGCAAACAATCCCCAGACAACATTGCTACCCCTGTGCAGGTGGTAGTTCAATGAAATCAAGCCTCAGGTGTTCAAACATGTTTTCTGAGGTTGGTTTCACTTTCAATTGCTTTATTTTATGCTTTTGTTTATGCATAAGCAGACACCTTATCACAATGATGTTGTGCCACTGTGGAAAGTCTTAGAATGAACCAGTATTTCTTGGCTACATCCAGCAAACATGGTCAGCTCTGTAGGTAAGTTTAAGAAGGGATAACACATTTTGGGAAGAGCAGGATGATGTGAGACAGATGCCCGAATTGGAATTCTGGGTGCAGTGTTTCTGCCAAAGTCTGAGTTCTGCTTTGGGAGCACATTTCTGCAGATCAGCCTGAGATGTGTGAGCAGAGAAACTAAAGTCAGAAGTGTGAGTGTCAGCCAGCTTCTGTCCAAACAGCAACACTGAGGAAGAAGAGGAAGTGCTTGTGTTTTTTGCCACTGCATCAGCTCGAGCGCTGCAAAGTGACACAGACTCAGCCAAATGTGTGTGTTGTGCTTTTTACAATGGAGAGATAACTGAGGAGTTGGCCAGCTCTGAGTAAACTGTCAGTGAGAACCCTGTGTGCTGCTTTCCAGAAGAAATGATGAATCCGTAGTATTTCCACATAATTCCAGTGTCATGGACTACTTCAAGGGAATGTGAGCTACGGGTGTAGATACAGGCAGACTGACCGTTAGCCAGTATGGCGCGTGTTAGTGTGAAAGTTTCAGCTGTTTGTGCTGACAGCTAACAAGATAGGTGGTGAGATACAATCAGCATTCAGATCAAGGGTGTCTGACAGGACGAGTCTGGATACAGACCAAGCAATCTGAGCCATTCAGGCTAGAGAAGGCTAGTGACAGTGGACAGGTGGTGTCATGATCACATAGTTCTAAGTCATGATCTGTGGCCTATGATTCAGAGCGACATCTACTGTTCAAGCTGTTTGTTTCTTCGTGACAAACAGTCAGCCATATTATAGGCAGGACCATGGGCATTGCTAGGTCAGTTTTAGGGGTCTTTAGCCCCCCTAAATGTTAGAGCTGTAGGGGGGTCTCTGGTTTTGCACTACAAAGTAATCACCAACCTGAAGCTGTGACAGGATTTTGGGTAAATGCTCACAAAAATAGACATTTAGACCTTCTTCAAAATCTTTAATCTACAGAGTGAAGAAGTACGTGGTTAAAGAATTAAGATACACACCCACAATATGGATTATGGCAAATTATGGTCAGGATAGCTGGATACTAGGTTGGCCTTGGTTGCTTGTTAGCTAGCTAATGCTAACAGTAGCTAGCTAGCTGACAAGCCAACTAGATTTTTTGAGTAACACTTCATAGTCAAAGTATCACAGTGTGAACAAGCAATATTCAATATTTCAGTGTTCGGAAACAGGGACACCAGTATTTGCCATATATTATTGTTTACAGTAAGTCAATGTCACTGAAAAGGTCACACAGCGCTGATCATAATGCAATTTTATATCCTTCAAATCCTTCAGTACCTTCACTTGCTCTGTGCCTGTTGTAAGTGGATGGGTAGAGTATTTATGTCATACTAATGTCTTTTATTGTGTAAGTGTGGTAGAACTCAGGTATATCTGTTACTATGGGGTTGCTAAGCCAGTTTTAGGGGGGTTTAACACGTTTTACAATGACATTGTGCCACTTTTTTTTCGGAATTGCAGAACAACCATAGAATGTAAGCCAGATGCCCGAATTGTAATTCTGGGTGGTTCTGCCAACGTCTGAGTTCTGCTTTGGGAGCAGATTTCTGTAGATCAACCTGAGACGTGTAGTCAGAGACGTTAAAGTCTGAAGTGAGTGTTAGCCAGTTGCTCTGCCAGCAGCCACACTCAGGAAAAGAGGAAGTGCTTGTGTTTTTTGCTGCAGCATCAGCTCGAGCGTTTCCAAGTGACACAGACTCAGCCAAATTCATGGGTGTGATGCACTTTACAATGGAGAGATAACTGAGGAGGTGACCAGCAAGCAATTGGTACCAATGTTTCAGTGAAAAGAGAACCAATGTTTCAAGATCCTCGTCCTTTTGAGGTCCCCATGTGGGCTGGCCAGCCACTTCTGTTCAATCACTCAGCCCAATCCTAACACATTTCTGAACACTTCTGAAACTGACGCCTAACCTCAGAGAAAGGACATATATATTGGGTGCAGTGAAATAAGTATCAGTAATCTTGGCTAAGCTTCACGTTGGGAGCATATCGGGGACCCGTACTGTGGCCTCCTCACAGTCAAGGCAATCTGAATTGAGATTCTTTTCTGATCATATAATCTGATATCACTTTTCCATGTGGCCTGTTGTAAATTGCCCTAATCTGAATAAGAGCAGACACGACTCTCTGACAGCATGCCACAGATCTCAAAATGCTGCTCTGAAACACGACATCATCAAACTACAATGGATTCCTGTGTTTTTGTACAGTATAGGTTTGGGCAGGTTTCTGCACAAATGCTGTGTTGTTAGTTTGAAGGCAGTGTTTTATGCAAATGTTCCTGGTGTGATGTCACATGCATATCATTAGTGAGGGCTATATAATCCTGTCAGTCAGTGTAGCTGACAGACCACCATCACTGAGTGAGTTTGGAGTGTTGATCTACTGAAAGGTAGGACATTCACTGACCTTCATCATCTGTTGGAGGAGACTGGAAGGAGGAACATGCTGAGATGTTTCTTCTTCATATTTCTATAGATTTATGATAGCTATGTATATTTGGTTACAGTTTTCTTTCTTCACATTGGAAACGTGTGCATTAGATTTCAGAGTTGTGGACAGTGAGTGTGTGGTTGCTTGTAAAAACTAAACAATTCTAGAATAAATCTGAATGAGCTTTAAAACAGATTAGAGGAACAGTGCTATGATTACTCTTCTCTTTGATGCTGTATAGAATCATTCAGTTCTATTTGCGTCACATCTGATTTAACTAAAATATTCATTGAGCTTGATTTAACTTAATGAGGTATTGAATGGAAACACAGACCACTGCTTATTCTATTCATATTTATTTAGATTTACTCCAATGTAACTTTACCAAGCAGAGAAACAGATGAAAGTCTTCAAACGATTATTCCAGTTAAATTTTATTTATGAGAACATTAACAGTCTTCACATGCAGCGTCAAGATGGCAAATAAAAGAACAATCCAGGAGATTCTCCTGAATGTTCTGGAGAATCTGAATGATGGAGAGCAGAAGATGTTCCAGTGGTACCTCAGCCAGGAGGTTCTGGACAAATATCCTCCCATACCAAAGGCCAAGATAGAGGGTGCCTCTCTGGAAGAGACAGTCAATCAACTGATTGAGTTCAATGATAACTCAGCTGCAGCGAAGATCACTGAGAGAACTCTGGAACGGATGAACCAGAAGCAGCTGGCTCGAAGGCTCGAGGGGGCTCTGGAGAAAGGTAACAGGCTTTTTTTAGCAGCCAAGATTAACAAATACGTCTTAGATTAACTGATACAACAACTAGGATTTACTAATATGGTGACAAAGATCAACAAATAATGTTGATAAGATGTATAAATATTAATAAAGATTAACTAATGTAATAACTAATTAAATAAAATAGTGACTGATGTTAGATAATTACTTAGACTAACTAATAAAGTAACTAAGCTTAACTAATATAGTTACTGGCGTCTAATGCCGTCTTTTGTGCCTCCACACATTTGGGAAGCTTTTCACAAGATTTTTGAGCATGTTGTAACATCACCCTTCACTGGAACTAAGGGGCCCAAACTCTGAAAAACAGCCCCATCTTATTATCCCTCCTCCATTTTACTGTTGGCTCTGCATTCCGGTAGGTAACGTTCTCCTGACATCCACCAAACCCAGATTCATCATCAGACTGACAGATAGAGAAGCTGATTCATCACTCCAGAGAACACGTTTCAGTGCTTTACACCACTCCAGCCGACACTTGGCATTGCACATAGAGATCTTAGGCTTGTGTACAGCCACTCAGCCATGGACATTCAGGAAAAATCTGGAATGAAACTATGTTCTTTCTCTTAGGTTTTAGGGAGTTGGTGGAAAATGATCCAGTATTGCCTCTGTTTCGTCAGTGTGTACCACGTCTTTCTCTTGTTTTGCTATTTCACTGTTATGACCTTGTTCTGTTTTTAGTTGTTTTACGGATTTACCCCTTTGGCTCAGTTTACCTGTTTGTTGGCTCTTTGGTCCCAACCATTGCTTGTTTATCTACATTGATTGGTCACACTTTATTTGGATGGTCTACTATAGATGCTCTACAGAGACGTCAATCATTAACCAACTTTCTGGTGATGTTCAGTTGATTATCAACAACGGTATGGTTAGGGTTAGGGTTAGAAGTAAATGCTTGTTTTACCTTGAGGTTAAGGTGAGGGTTAGGTTTAGGGTTAGGGTTAGATTTAATACATTCTTTCACACTAAACTTGAAGTTCAGTTGCATTTATGGATATTTAGTTGAATGTTACTTTAAAGATATACTGAACATTTACAAATAATCTACAGTGGACCATCCAAATAAAGTGTTGCCTTATGCCATGTATCGTGTTTGCTGCTCTGCTTTTTGACCTGTTGTGGTGTAAACCCTGTACCTTTCAGTCAACCTCCTTTTAATAATCATCCTTTTAATGAACGTAAGTCTAGTCAGCTTTGGTAAGAGTGATGTGTGCAGCTCGCAGAGCGTGAAGATCAAAGCTCATCCTTTCATTTTCAACACTTAATTTTCTCCTCTGCTTTCTTTCTAGGAGGATTCTTCCCAGAAGTTCCATATGTGCAGATTCTGCCACAAGGACTCAGTGACCAAACACTCATCGCCATCTATGGGGAGCCTAAACCAAATGCTGAAATGTAAGAGTATAAGAAATAATACAAATAAAATGGCGATTCTGAAAATAAAACAAAAATGAAACTTTGTCTTCTCTTTAGATTTCAGATCAACCTCCAGAAAGGTGATAATGTGGCCTTTCATTTCAACCCTCGTTTTAATGAGGATGGGAAGCAGGTGATCGTGAGGAACACCAGGATTAAAGGTGTTTGGGGTCCTGAGGAAAGAGAACTTCCTTTCTTCCCTTTCACACCTGGAAAACCTTTTGTGGTGAGTGTTGTGAACAGACAGTCCTGCTCTGCTCATTTAAACACTTTCACCCCATATTAAGTGTCTCTGTTTAATGAGGGATCATCTTTACAACTGAAAGTGTCCCTGTACTTCTGTCCATCGTTCCCTCCTTGATTTCTTTTCCCCTGATGTCCTCTGGCCACTTCCATGCTTCATTTCTTATCACATCTGTTTCTGTGGTCGAGTTGGTTGAAAAATCCAATCCAACACGTTGCCAGTTAGATTCTGCTCCAGCCTCCCTTATTAAGGAATATATGACAGAGTTAGCCATCCCTATCTCACACCTTATTAATAGATGTTTTGAACCTGCTGTATTCAGGGTCAATTTAAAAACCACTGTTACCCCTGTTCTGAAAAAGTCAGGTCTGGACTCTCTTAGTATGCTGATGTTTCTTGATCTTAGCTCCACTTTTGATACCATATCTCATGATCTATTACTCTCTTACATGCCCAGCATTTGTATCACTGGATCCATATCTCCTGGTTTTCCTCTTATCTTACCTTTATACAGCAATATGAAGCTATTCTGAATCATAAATCCTCTACTGTTTCTACCAAGGGTGTTCCACAAGGCTCAGTTTTAGGTCCGCTACTCTTTACCATATACATGCTGCCACTTGGCCATATAACACGTCATCAGTGAATTTTCATTGTTACGTTGATGACACTCGGATCTATGTCAGCGTAAGCCCTGTTCAGACTACAACATCACCTGCTTTACAAGGTTCTCCTTATTACATATAAAGCTCTGCATGGCCTGGATGCCCCATCCTGTACCATAATATCGCCTAATTTAGGCCTGCTTCATGTTCCAATGTTTAAATTGACCTCTAAATGTGGTCGATCATTTAGTGTAGTAGCTCCCAAATTATGGAATGCTCTCCCCAAGTCTGTTTGGGATGCCTCCTCTCTGTCTTCCTTTAAATCTCTGCTAAAGACTTACTTGTGCTCACTGTGTTATCAGTGTTACGTTTGTACTTGAATGTTATACATGTACTGTCTTTTTCTTACTAATTGTGCACTTTCTGTTTGATGTGTTCATGTTCCTTGACTGAAAAGCTCCCTCGAGCAAAGGAAAAGAGGTATATGAATAAAAGTGATAATGATGATTGTGGCGATGACGGTATTAACTACAAAATTAATCTATAACTACTATGAATTATTCAGATTTTGCTACAAATTATTTGGTAATTTACTATGAATAACTCAGTACCTGCTCTGCATTATTCACATACAGATCCTTACAATGTAAGAAACGAACTCTGTTTTTCAGATCAAGATTTCCTGCACCAGCTCTGATTTCATTGTGGAAGTTGACGACAGGTATTTGCTGTCTTTTACACATCGCATGAAGGACCTTGACCGCATCAAAACACTCGCCATCGAAGGAGATGTTGTCCTCAAGTATGTTGTCACAGGTATGTAATTGTACAGAGCTCCTTGGTAACACTGTGATGCCCTGCTTGCAAACACATTCTTCAGTAAACATCACTCAAAAACAATAGTTATATTTAATTAACTTTTACAAGGCAACCAGGTTCCGAGATTCCTTTGAATAAATGATCCAAGCAGAAAATACACATTTAACCGAACTTTATACAGAAGTAGACAGAAAATTTTGAAAACGACTCAGAACTTTTGCACGGTAATGTATGAAAATGAAATAGAACCATCCTTGTTCAAGTAAAGAAATGTATGTTCATTTGAAATCAGATATTAATAACTCATAGATTGGATAAACAAAAGAAAGTTACATAAAATACCTTAATGTTGAAAATGATTTTAAGCTTTAAAAATGTATAATCTGTTATGGTAACACTGGTTTGAAATGGTATATATATATTTTTTCATGGATTTTTCTTTCATGGAAATCCACAACATGACCTGCCAGGTTTTGGGGGAGTTGGTGGAAAAGGATCCAGATACTTTTGTTCAGTAACTGAAAGGTCAAATCAGAGCTCCAATATGTGATTCTTTTTTCATTTAACCTCATAAACAAGAAAAGGAAAGATTACTACCAGTGACCGTTAAAGGAGTGTTAAATGGACTGTACTACAGAAAGAAGTGTTAAATAAAGCCCAACATCATTATCTATCCAGCTTTGGTAAGAGTGATGTGTGCAGCCCACAGAGCAGGAAGATCAAAGATCATACTTTCATTTTCAACACTTTATTCTCTCCTCTGCTTTCTTTCTAGACTTCTTCCCAGAAGTTCCATATGTGCAGATTCTGCCACAAGGACTCAGTGACCAAACACTCATCACCATCTATGGGGAGCCTAAACGAAATGCTGAAATGTAAGATGTAATAAACAATACAAATGAAATGGCGATTCTGAAAATAAAATAAAATGGAAAATTTGTCTTCTCTTTAGATTTCAGATCAACCTCCAGAAAGGTGATAATGTGGCCTTTCATTTCAACCCTCGTTTTAATGAGGATGGGAAGCAGTTGATCGTGAGGAACACCAGGATTAAAGGTGTTTGGGGTCCTGAGGAAAGAGAACTTCCTTTCTTCCCTTTCACACCTGGAAAACCTTTTGAGGTGAGTGTTGTAAACAGACAGTCCTGCTCTGCTCATTTAAACACTTTCACTCCATATTAAGTGAGTCTGTTCACTGAGGGATCATGTTCACTAGTGAAAGTGTTCCTTCTTATATTTCAGCTTCAGTCTCAGTGGAAGTTACTGATACTGGTGTGTTTGACGTCACAAAGATGATGCTGAAATGTTCATGTTAACCCTGACTGGCAGGACGATTGTGAAATGAATGAATTAAATATTGTTGGGTTAAGAGACCTGAGATTAACCCCTTAAAAACCCTTGTTGTTAAGAATAACCCTTGTTATTTTATAATAACTATGGATTATTCAGTAACTAGTATGACTTACTCAGTATGTACTATGAATAACTCAGTACCTGCTCTGCATTATTCACATACAGATCCTTACAATGTAAGAAACGAACTCTGTTTTTCAGATCAAGATTTCCTGCACCAGCTCTGATTTCATTGTGGAAGTTGACGACAGGTATTTGCTGTCTTTTACACATCGCATGAAGGACCTTGACCGCATCAAAACACTCGCCATCGAAGGAGATGTTGTCCTCAAGTATGTTGTCACAGGTATGTAATTGTACAGAGCTCCTTGGTAATGCTATGATATCATGCCTGCTAACACATTCTTTAGTAAACATAAGGCCACTGGTTTCCTAGATTCCTTTAAGATCCACTTATCACTTTCTACAATGTGACATGTTATAATGTATTCATAAGGCATTATAAAAATAGCTATAAGGTTTATGAAGAAGTGTTACACATCAAAGTCATGTTTGTTACAATTTCTTATAATGGAGTCATAATACAATATGTCTATCAATAATAACCTATTGTCACTTTCACTGAAGCTTACATGAACAGTTAGTAGACAGTGTGTGAACAGTTAGTAGACTGTCTGTGAACAGTTAGTAGACAGTCTTTGAACAGTTAGATTGTGAACAGTTACTAGACTGTCTGTGAACAGTTAGACTGTGTACAGTTAGTAGACAGTCTTTGAACAGTTAGACTGTGTACAGTTACTAGACTGTCTGTGAACAGTTAGACTGAACAGTTACTAGACTCTGTGAACAGTTAGTAGACTGTCTGTGAACAGTTAGTAGACAGTCTTTGAACAGTTAGACTCTGAACAGTTACTAGACTCTGTGAACAGTTAGTAGACTGTCTGTGAACAGTTAGTAGACAGTCTGTGAACAGTTAGACTGTGTACAGTTACTAGACTCTGTGAACAGTTAGTAGACTGTCTGTGAACAGTTAGTAGACAGTCTTTGAACAGTTAGACTGTGAACAGTTACTAGACTCTGTGAACAGTTAGTAGACTGTGAACAGTTAGACTGAACAGTTACTAGACTCTGTGAACAGTTAGTAGACTGTCTGTGAACAGTTAGTAGACTGTCTGTGAACAGTTAGACTGAACAGTTACTAGACTCTGTGAACAGTTAGTAGACTGTCTGTGAACAGTTAGACTGTGAACAGTTATTAGACTCTGTGAACAGTTAGTAGACTGTCTGTGACCAGTTAGTAGACTGTCTGTGAACAGTTAGACTGTGAACAGTTACTAGACTCTGTGAACAGTTAGTAGACTGTCTGTGAACCATTAGTAGACAGTCTTTGAACAGTTAGACTGTGAACAGTTACTAGACTCTGTGAACAGTTAGTAGACTGTCTGTGAACAGTTAGTAGACAGTCTTTGAACAGTTAGACTGTGAACAGTTACTAGACTCTGTGAACAGTTAGTAGACTGTCTGTGAACAGTTAGTAGACAGTCTGTGAACAGTTAGACTGTGTACAGTTACTAGACTCTGTGAACAGTTAGTAGACTGTCTGTGAACAGTTAGTAGACAGTCTTTGAACAGTTAGACTGTGAACAGTTACTAGACTCTGTGAACAGTTAGTAGACTGTCTGTGAACAGTTAGACTGAACAGTTACTAGACTCTGTGAACAGTTAGTAGACTGTCTGTGAACAGTTAGTAGACTGTCTGTGAACAGTTAGACTGAACAGTTACTAGACTCTGTGAACAGTTAGTAGACTGTCTGTGAACAGTTAGACTGTGAACAGTTATTAGACTCTGTGAACAGTTAGTAGACTGTCTGTGACCAGTTAGTAGACTGTCTGTGAACAGTTAGACTGTGAACAGTTACTAGACTCTGTGAACAGTTAGTAGACTGTCTGTGAACCATTAGTAGACAGTCTTTGAACAGTTAGACTGTGAACAGTTACTAGACTCTGTGAACAGTTAGTAGACATTCTGTGAACAGTTAGTAGACAGTCTTTGAACAGTTAGACTGTGAACAGTTACTAGACTCTGTGAACAGTTAGTAGACTGTCTGTGAACAGTTAGTAGACTGTCTGTGAATAGTTAGACTGTGAACAGTTGCTGGACTGTCTGTGAACAGTTAGACTGTGTACAGTTAGTAGACAGTCTGTGAACAGTTAGACTGTGTACAGTTAGTAGACAGTCTGAACAGTTATTAGACAGTCTGTGAACAGTTAGTAGACAGTCTTTGAACAGTTATTAGACAGTCTGTGAACAGTTAGTAGACAGTCTGTCAACAGTTAGTAGACAGTCTTTGAACAGTTAGTAGACTGTGAACAGTTAGTAGACTGTCTGTGAACAGTTAGTAGACTGTCTGAACAGTTGCTAGACTGTCTGTACAGTTAGTAGACTGTCTGTGAACAGTTAGTAGACTGTCTGTGAACAGTCAGTAGACTGTCTGTACAGTTAGTAGGAGGTCCTGTGTACAGTTCTTTCTCAAACTGGGTGTTAAGAAGAAAGCGTATGCTAAGAGAACATAAGATATGTCAACCATGTCTGATGTATATTTCCAAATGACTTTTTCATAAAATGTCCCTCATCAATGATTTACTCTTCTTATGAACTAAAACATGTTTTCATGAGTGAAAATGAGCCCACAACGAATACAGATAATAAGCCTGTAACTGGTGCGCATGGCTGCAGTAGCTGTGCTGCAGCTCTTAACCCAGCAGCTGAACTCCTGGCCAAGACTATAGCTGGAGCCACAATGGATATGTATGGATATTTTCTACATTCAAAATGTGCATTTTTTCATTGAATTTGATGAATATTGCCATTTTGCTTTTATTATTCCTAAAACATCCCAACTTTATGAATCATTTTGGCCACTTATTCAGTCAATACCACTGCTTTCCTGTGTTATTGGGACTCTGTATGAATGTAAACTCCATCAGTACGATTAATCTTACGCTTTCTGACTAGAATTACACATCTGTTTAATCCATCACCTGAAATTGCTATAGAAACACAGCTGGACCGTAATTACCTGATAGTTTGTTCAATAACTGTGACATCTGATTTACATCATAACAAACTTAGAAGTCCACCTGCTGGGAGAGTGATAGAAAATAAACCTAGCCTATATTAGCAAAGCGTACAAGATTTGTCTGACTTTTATTCATATTTACCATTTTCCTTCTGACTTTATCTTCTCTGTGTTTTGCAGGACCTTAATTCTGACTCATTACAGCAGATTCTACCGCAGCGTTTCTGGATTATATGAATTACTCATCAGTAATTAAACTTGGTTTTGGACTTGCAAAACAAATCATTGTGTTATATGCTTTGATGCTTCTATTTTCTCAACTGGCTTTACTTTAATGATGAAATATTATTTCTAAATTCAGTACTTAATGCTGCAACATATATACAACAAGGCTTTTACATATAATCAATGAATATATAGATTGAGTATGGCTACTGATGGAATGGCTAACCAGAATCTTACATATACAAACATGCAATTATTGAGCTGAATAACACATAACCTTTATTCTTTAAATTGTTTGGTCAATAAAGATCCTGCATCGCAAAATGTTCTGTGTATTATTTTTGTTAAATAGAACTGTTATTAATCATTTTATAATATAGGAGCTGGTTTGTAATCTGATGAAACTCAAAAGACATTTTTAAAGATTTTCTTATAGAAATTCTCAGAACTCTAAAAGATTCACAAACTTTTCTCACAAAAACAATTTAATTTATAACCATCTTATTTAACATTGTTGAGAATAAATGATGCATTCAAGAAACAGCAATCAGAATGGTAATGGTGAAATAGGCACTATATAGCCAAAAGTATGTGGACACCTGACCATCACACCTTATGAGCTTGTTGGACGTACCATTCTAAATCCATAGGCATGAATAACAGCTTCCACTCTTCTGGGAAGCTTTCTACAAGATTTTGGAGAGGGGTCTGTGGGAATTTCTGTCCATTTCATCCAGAAGAGCATTTGTGAGGTCGGACACTGATGTTGGACGAGAGGGTCTGGCTCTCAATTGACATTCCAGTTCATCCCGTAGGTGGTCAGTGGGGTTGAGGTCAGGGCTCTGTGAAGGCCACTGGAGTTCCTCCACACCAAACTGGTCACTCGATGTCTTTGTGGAGCTCACTTTGTGCACAGGGGCTCAGTCATGTTCGAACTGTCCGCATATTATTGGCCATAATACTCTTCATTTTCTTAGAGTATATAAATATCATCATTTCATAATATAAATAACACTGCACTATCAGTGAGTCCCTCTCATAGAGTTTGCTTTAGGATTTGAATGGGTTTTGAGTGCTTTTGCTTAAAAAAAAAGCCATTTAGGTCATAGCTTTTAAAATTCATTTCAGTAATTTATTTTTTTCCTAAAATAAAAAAGGAAATTTCTTGATTTTTAAATTTCTTGAAGTGTCATAACTGTCTTAAAAAGCCAGCAATGACTCTTAATTTATGCAGTTTAACAGTCACACTTTCCTCTGCGGAAATACAGTGGACGACCTGCCGGTGTGACGTAAACCAACTGAAAACTACTATTTATTAAAATGACTCAAGAGTAGCATAGTGATGTGTGAATTCACTGGACAGCGTCACTTTATGGTAGCTTTCTTTAATAAACCATCAACTGATCATAAATTAGTTTATCACAAATTAGTTGAAGTGTTTATTAATGGCAGTTCATGCTGTTGTTGATGTTTGTCATGTATACAACATCATTAGATTGAATTATTATTTTAGCTATATGCTCTACCTAGTATGGATATAAATATAAAGACATATGTATTAATACACATTATATCGAAATACATTCAAATGGTTTTGAATGGCTTACAATTTCTTCTACAGACCCAGTCAAATGAAATGTGTGTGTTAGGAAGGAAGTCAGTCATTTTCACATGAAAGCTGTAAAATATTTCACTCTGATTTTTCCATTTTTTTTTGTTAATGTAGTTTTTTTATTCATTTAAAATCCTTAGAAATTAGAAACATATTTCTATATTACTCAGATTTTGTTTTTTCCTTTTGTATGAGAGGGTGTTAATTAGTTTTCTTATTCAACCATTTTCAATAAAAACTCCAAGACTGTTGATTTTTTTCCTCATTTATTTTTATTTTCCTTTGGTCATTTGAGAAAGCACAGTCATTGATGAGTCAAAATCTTTAAAACCTTTAATCTTGAAAATGTATTTTACTTCATTCAGTCAGGCATCACTCTGTGAGTCACACAGCAGTAGCATGGCTATATGACTGAAGGTGTACGACTTTTACAGTGAGGTTTTATTTTTTTCTAGTTGTCCAGAGCACTCTGGATCCTCTCTGGACAGCCAGGCTGCCATCATTATTGATGAACAGACTGTTGTCATGGGTGATACTGTTCTGACAGCTGTTACTGGCCCACAAAGGTTGGCCATCACAGGTGTAAATGACCAGGTTTCCGTCCTCCTGCATTATGAGGCGAGTTCCTGGTTTGTTCCAAGTGTCTGAAGCCCAAACTGGTTTCCAGCCGTAAACCACAAAGTTCCCATCATCCTGAATGAGTGCAAACAAACACAGAGGTCAATTAATTAGAAAGCCTTCACAGGCCACTTTATTAGAAACACCCACCTTGTGTTTCCACTAACTGGCCACTTTATTAGAAACACCTGCCTTGTGTTTCCACTAACTGGCCACTTTATTAGAAACACCTGCCTTGTGTTTTCACTAACTAGCCACTTTATTAGAAACACTGACCTTGTGTTTCCACTAACTGGCCAGTTTATTAGAAACACCCACCTTGTGTTTCCACTAACTGGCCACTTTATTGTAAATAGAGGTGTTTCTGATAAAGTGGGCAGTGTATTCTGTGTGTATGTATGTGTATATGAGTATATATGACTCACACTGTGTTTTCAGTTGGTCATAACAGTTAAAAATCATGTGTGTTGTCAGCAGGTGTCGTACCTGGAAGATAGCTTTGTAGTTTCTGTCATTAGAGAGCAGAAAGTCCCCCTTATGCAGCTCTTGGTTGGTGAACAGTGCGTTTCTGCTCATTTTCCTGAAAAATATTCAAGACATTTGATTTAAAAATGTCACAATAAGAGCTTATTCTGCATTCATATATGGTATATATACTGACATCAATATACCATTTTTTTCTAGTCGTCCTTTATACTGGAACATTTAATGACGAATGGACCAATAAAAATGGTCAAAATTTCATTTAACATGCCATTTTCTTAGTTTGACCCTTCACCCTCTCTGTAGTAGTGCTGGATGAAGTCCAGCTGCTGCGCACTGTATGTCACTCTGGTAGAACTCGTGATTGTAGCGCTCTTGTTCAAATGCAGCATTTGTCTTGTAAAGTGACACCTTTATCACTTTCAGCAGACCACGCTAAACAGGCACTTGCAGGAGAACTATAAATAAAATCAACAAGCAGCAAACTAACAACAGCAGCAGCTTAGTAGGGCTAGAGTTCGCCTTGAGAACATCCTCAAGATGTTAACAAGAACCCACAGCTTAATGGACGAGAGTGAGATATACAATCATGGAAGAGCTGAACCACCGACTGTATACATGATATATATGATATATCGCTGTTGTTGGATGAAAACCAACAACTTGGAACTTTACAGGAGAAGGAAAAAAACAACTTTACTTTTAATGTAAGTCAATGGAACCAGACTTTTGTCCAAGTCATTTTGGGCCGTTTCTTTTGGTCCATTCATCATGAAATTTATAAATGTAAAGAGCAACAGGCATTTTCAAATTATGTCAAGAACTGAAAAATGGAGATACAAGGTTTTCTTCCAACAACAGCGATATACACTCACTGACTGTATATATGACAGATATGGTAAATACACTCATTGACCTTATATGATACACATAATATATATGCTCACTGAATGTATATATGGTATGTGATATATACACTAATTGGCCGTATATGTGATATACATAATATAGACACTCACCGACTGTATATATGATATATATTATATATACACTCACTGACTGTATATGACATATATATATATATTAATTGATTGTATACATGATTCATATAAAATATACACTCATTGACTGTATATATGATATATATGATGAATATGATATATGCACCAATTGGTTGAACGTGCAGACACTGTTGCTCTCTTTAGTGTAAATTTGAGTAAACATGAAAACTGTGATTAGTCAGTTGTGTGTGTGTATAAATGCAGTACTTACAGTGCTCAGTGGAAGCTGTGTGATGTTTTAGCATCTGTAGAGAAGCAGTGCTGAAGATGAAGCTTCTACAGCGGTCAGTGGATCATTTATAGAAGTGGACAACCACTGACCAGCTCAGGAGGGGCAGAGCTTAGAAGGTAAACATCTCCTCACCTGATCTAACAAGGACATACATGTGTTTGTCGATATGACTGAGCACATTTATTAATTACATAGAGAATACAGTTATGAAATATATATGATATATACTCAGTTACTGTATATATGATATAAAGAGTTAAAAGGGAATGAATGCAAACCCAATTAATTAATATTTGGAATACTGATGGTACAACTTCATATATTTTGACTTATTAGTATTCAAAATTTTGGAATTTCTGTTCAAAAATTTGCAAACACTTTACATAAGTTTGGAATTGCTTCTCAAAGGGTTGGAATCACTTTTCAGAAGTTTGGAATAACCTTTTCGAAAGTTTGTAAACACTTTTTACAACTTTTCAATTCTCAAAACTGTGAAATCATTTCTCAAAAGTTTAGAATTGCCTTTTCAGAAGTCTGGAATCACAAAAGTTTGGAATCACTGCTCAAAAGTTTAAAATCACTTCCCTAATGTTTGGAATCACTTTCCAAAAGTTTGGAATCACTTTTCTAAAGTTTGGCGTGGATGTTTGACAGTTTAAAATCGGCATTCAAAAATGTGGATTTGATATTTTCATGAATATTAAATCTGGTAATAATATGCTAGTTCAGAGCAGAACAGATGCTGTGAATTCTACATTCTGAAAAAAAATGTAGAACATCAAGTTAAGTTATTAAGTTATAAAAAAAATTGTTAAAAATCTAATTTTAGAAGTGGAGATCAAATCTCAAAGCAGAAAGAAATCAATATTAATAAATAAATACAGTGTAGTATTTATCATCATTTTTCATTTTACCCGTAAATGTACCAGGATTTATTTTTCTTGGCTAATTCGACTGTAGTTCATGTCCCTGGGGTTAAACTGGGATGTACTGGGGAGTCGTACTTTTAGCCATTTGGAATGTTCAGCTTTTATAAACCTTTATAGACATTTATTACTTCTTGTAAGCAAATTATAACAATAAAAAAAATTGGCTGGTTTAAAGCATTATTTTTGAATGAGTCAGTTTGTTTAGCTGAAGTGTAACTAACTAACTGTGTCATATAACAAACAGAAACGTCTGAAACAAACTGTCCTGTGATGTTCTTACGACAGTCGCCTAATGAGAAATTTGACATGTATTAACTTGATTTAAGGTGATTTCTCTGCTCTACAGATGTGCTTCAGATCACGTATGAAAAACGTGTGATATCAGGGAATAATGTTTTCATGTGGTCAGGTTATTCACATGTGGTTGTTTGTGAATACGTGTTTTAAGACACTTCTTAAAAGATGACAAAAATGTGGCAGTTTTAAAGGAACATGATGATGTGATCAGGTGTAATTTTAATTCTGCAGCTACGACTAACTGACCGGTGCAAGTGTGCAAACCAGCAACAGCCAGAAACCTTCAGAATTACTCGAGTTGGTCAAAATTGAATTAAAAAAGGTTCACATGAACAGAGCCTGAGGTATAAAGCCACGTATGAGTTACATGCGTCAGTGGAAACAGTTTTATCTGGCTAGGCAAACCAGCCTACCACCTTTAGCACTGCTAACATTACAGCAGAGGAAGATGAACGTGTGCTACTTAAAGGCTCATGACGATGTTTGCACTGCATGTGAAGATCACTGACAATTGAGCAGCTTTTCCAGATGTTTTCCAGAACAGTTAGATTAGCTGAACATTTGCATCCATGAAATTAACTCTGTCATCTTGATGCTGCCTACATTCAAATGAGCTTGCGCTTCTCACTGGTCATCATTGGCTAACACTTCACCGTTTATCACTGTAGCCACAAACCTGATATGGGGAATAAGCACAACTGCCACTTTTCGGAAATGCGATCTGAGCCTCTATCCTGGCTCAGCAGGAAGGTAACGCACAGCTGGATTTAAAGCTAATACATCATAAAATGACTAAGCTGAGCAAAGTTTACAGAAAAGACAGCAAATGGAAAACAAAGCTAATTTTGGCTCCTTCAGATTTTCTGTTCCACCTTAAATGGTGCAGCAGGCAGGCGCCGGAATACTGCTGCACCATTTAAGGTGGAACAGCAAGTTTGAATAAGAGCTGAAAATAAATATGAATAAGAAGTCAAATTCAGCCTCGTGGTGAATGCTGCACTTGTTTTACCTGCAGAAGCTGTGAGAATCTGTCAAATATAGAGAGCTGTGTTTATTTAGTTTTGCTACCATGAGGAAACCGGTCAGTTTGCCTGGTGAGTTTCTTTTGATTCTTGTTTCCAGCTTATAGAGGCGAACTTGAACTCTAAAAGCTTCACTTAATAACATAAGCTGAGCGGAAACACAGTAACAGACACTTGATGACGCTGCTGTATCAGATTTAGGAAAGGAAATGAATCGATTCACATGAAGAGTAAGGGGCTGTGTAGAGTCATGTCTGCAGTCTGACTCTCCATGTTTCTTCCACTTTTTCCGAGTCTTAAGGCTGAAGTCAGAGTCTGAGTCATTGGTGATCGAGTTAAAACCTTTCTTCAATTTGTAAAGTCTTAAGTCATCAAATTCATGACTTGAGTCAGACTCAAGTCCTACGACTTGAGTGAACACCTCTGGTGGCCAGCTAAATCACTTTCTCTGTGTAAAAAAGGTGTGTATGTGAGGATAACACACAAACGTTCCTGTTCCTGTACCTACATATTCATAACTGTACCGACAACAACACATTCTGACCACTGACTGCTGTACTTACCTTCACGTTGTTTGTGTTTATTCTAACATTATACACTGTTTATACTGGGCACTCACTGCTGAGGTCAGCCATTCTAAACAACTTTCATGACTTTCTTTTTTGCCCAGTATTGAATGAATTATGATAAGAGGAAATATATGAACACGTGTTTTCTTCTTTCATCCTTTAATGCAGGACCAGTTTGATTTCTTTTGGGTCACAAACTACTATTTAAACAAGTAAACACATGAATATCTCGGTGCATCCAGCAGTAAAGGCAGCATAGAGTCTTTTTTACACAGTGATAGGAAACACAGCAGCTCACAGGACGCTCCACACACTCAGGAGCTGGGATTTAAAAAAAAAAAAAAAATTAATGATTCTAATCTTCACAGGTTTGAAAAAAAATAGAAGCTTCTTTAGAACTTTAGAACATCAATATTTGTTGAGATATTGAGAATTCCTGTTTCAAAAAACAAATCTTGCGGCAGAAAACCTGACAAAAATGACAAAAGCATTAAATTACTTACTAATATCATTTTATACATTAATGATCCCAAAATACATTAAATTAACAAATACAAGTACAAAAATACCATTTATTGTCTAGTTTATAGTGTTTGAATAAACATTACATAAGTTATTTTATATAAAACAAAAACAAACATGACTAATGGGTCAGACTTAAATGTAGTCATATGTTGCCCATATGTTTTAAATATAAGGAAACATATATGTTTGCGATGTATGGGAGAAAACAACAACAAGGCTTTAAAGATAAATTCAACTCCTATAATGTTTTATTCCTGAATTGTCTGTGTTTTCGTTTATGTTTAATCCACTCAACATTAATACTGTATTTTCCAGGTGACAGGGAGCTCACAGTGGCCTCGGTTTACAGAGCTGATATCCTGATAAATTAGTGTTTAATTAAACAGCTCTAAATGATGGACAGACCGCACATCTCCTTTAGTGACGTAACTGAGCCTCAGTATTTCAGTATTTAATTGTTTGGCACCCTAAACATCTCTATATCATGTATTTGAGCAAACATTCCTTCAGTCTGCTTTCATTAATCCAACAGAGGAGCTCTACAGTCAGCCTCACCGAGACGATGAGGTTTACACAGAACCTGCAGTCTGGGATGGAAATGCACTAATCTGAGTGTTACGATAACCTGTTCTTTTCTAAACAGCTTACAGCACTTCCTCTTGCTCTTACATGGGGAAAGTACCAGGAAGCATTTATCAGCAGTTTTTACAGTCATACTCTTCCATAATAAGTGCATGTGGCCTAAAAACTAAACACTTCATGACGAAGCATGTAAATGTATTCGTTTAAAACCCATATGCAGTTGTATTATGTAGTCATGCTGCATGTTTCACAGTCACACAGTTAGCTTACTTCAAAATGTCTTTTTCAGTAGATTCTGAGAAAATCTGTGTGTCTGATGTTGTGCTTTGTGATTTTGCTTGGACCACAGAATATTAATTGCTGGTAAATTCTGTTCTAAGGAATTTTGGTTGGGCTGAGAAGTATTTGTTTGTAAAGTCTGTGCCATGGCATATTGATTAGACCAAAAATGCCATTGCCAGTAGATTATTTCTGTTGGTCCAAAAATGTTTTTGTCAGTAGATGCTGTTCTAATAATAATACTGGTTGGACCACAGCGTTTTTATTACTATGTTCCGTGCTGCAGAGTGTCAGTTGTACCTAAACATCCATGTTAACAAATTCCGTGCTGAGAAATATTGGTTGGACCTAAAGATCTTTGTGGTTGTATCCCGTGCTGCGGAGAGTCAGTTGGACCTACAGATCTTTGTGGTTGTATCCCATACTGTGGAGAGTCGGTTGGACCTAAAGATCTTTGTGGTTGTATTCCTTTCTGCTGAGAGTCGGTTGGACCTAAAGATCTTTGTGGTTGTATCCCGTTCTGCGGAGAGTCGGTTGGACCTAAAGATCTTTGTGGTTGTATCCCGTGCTGCGGAGAGTCGGTTGGACCTAAAGATCTTTGTGGTCGTATTCCTTTCTGCAGAAAGTCGGTTGGACCTAAAGATCTTTGTGGTTGTATCCCATGCTGCGGAGAGTCGGTTGGACCTAAAGATTTTTGTGGTTGTATCCCATGCTGTGGAGAGTCGGTTGGACCTAAAGATTTTTGTGGTAGTATTCCTTTCTGCAGAAAGTCGGTTGGACCTAAAGATCTTTGTGGTTGTATCCCATGCTGCGGAGAGTCGGTTGGACCTAAAGATTTTTGTGGTAGTATTCCTTTCTGCGGAGAGTCGGGTGGACCTAAAGATCTCTGTGATAATATCCCGTGCTGTGGAGAGTCTGTAGGACCTAAAGATCTCTGCGATTGTATCCCGTGCTGTGGAGAGTCTGTTGGACCTAAAGATCTTTGTGATTGTATTATGTGCTGAGGAATATTGGTTGGACCTAAAGATCTCGGGGTGGGGTGTCTCTGTACGATCTGCCGCTCCACCTTAAATCCTTAGCAGTCAGTGCTACAGTGCCTAAGGTGGAGTGGAAGGGTTCAGTGCTGAGCTGTGGCTGCTGTGTCAGTGGGTGTGGGGGTGAGTGTGCGGAGGCTGCTGAGCTGGTAAATGAGCTGAAATGTTGGGTGTGTTTGGTTTCAGAGCCTCACTCTCTCTCCAAGGACTTCTCCAACGGTTACCTGCTGGGAGAAGTGCTGAGCAGGTACCAGCTGCAGCAGGACTTCCAGAGCTTCTCCACCAACAGGTCTGTACTCCTTCTATACACTCTCAGAAATAAAGGTACTAAACTGTCTCTGGGGTCAGTTCCCCTCCTGTCACTGGGGTGGGACCCTCAAGGGTCCATCTCAGTACCTTCAGTCAGGGAACATAACTGAACCATAATCCACTGAAATGATATGTTCTAAGCTGTACTGACTCCACACACCCCGTCTCGTCTCCAGGCTTTTATTTTACTGTTCTGTTTAAAACATTCGGTTATGAAAAGGTACAAATACGAACTTTTCACCTGGAGAAACTTATTTAAGGTTCACAATCAGACCTTAAAACCACCTTTGAGGAACATTTACACTGTTTGTACCATGATGAAGGAGGAATGTACCTGAACAGAACCTTCATTTCTAACAGTGTATGTATGTATGTAAATATAAAAATGTACATGTATATATGTGGCCAGTTTTTAACTTGGATTGATAAAGCCGGTTAATAACGCTTTAAAGTTCATTACACTCTGTAAAGGTATTGCTAAGTTGTTGTTATGGTATCCTCAGAGGTTAAGAGGCTAAGGTGTTGCTAGGCTGTTGCTATGCTATCGTAGATGGTTATTAAAGTGTTGCTCGGTGGTTACTATGGTACACCATGTGATTGCTAAGTTATTGCTAGGTTGTTCTTATGGTATCCCAGGTGGTTGCTAAGGTGTTGGTAGGTCATTGCTATGTTATCCCGAATGGTTGTTAAGGTATTGCTAGCCAGTTACTATGTTATGCCAGGCGACTGCTAAGGTATTGCTAGGTTGTTGTTATGGTATCCCAGGTAGTTGCTAATGTGTTGATAGGTCATTGCTATGCAACGGTAGGCGGCTGCTAAAGTGCTGCTCAGCAGTTGCTTTGGTATCCCAGGTGGTTGCTAAGGTATAGAAGTGTGTTCACTGTAGAGGATGTGTTAACTAATTTTCACTTAATAAAGTAGACAATAAAGTACTTAATAATCATTATGTTACATAATATTTATCAGAGTTAGGTGACAAAAAATCAAATATATATATATATATATATATATATATATATATATATATATATATATATATATATATATCAATATCTTTACTTTTATTTTCACTTTACTTTTACTTTACATTCAGTAAAATGCTTTGACAGTTTAGAGCTATTTTGGCAGGTTGTGGATAAATTAACATTAGATATGAGTGACAATATGTGCATTTTTGTGTCCATTATTTTCTTAAGAAATGGTTTAATTAACACATATATCACATTATTCCATAATACCTTATGTCAGTGCATTTTTAAAGCATCAAAATAAAGTTAATTTTAGGCACTTATTCGTACGAAAGACTGAAAGTGTCAGATGGTGCTGACATCCAACCGCAAATACAGAGTAAATAAAGTATTAAAGAAAATATATCGCATACAAAATTACTTTATGTTTGAGATCATTAATATCACGCCATGTCACATAACAACTTTTAAAGTGTTAAGCATGCTGAAAAAATTTAAATTCTGATTTACTGGAGTGTCACACATCACAACAGACAACCCAAACTTTTATTCTGACATGCTTTTAAGAAAGAGGCCAGGGCATTACATCCTTAAAGACCATCATGGTGCGTAGCCCTGCCCACTCTTTCTTAAAAGCATGTCAAAATAAACCCTGTATTGGTGGTTGAACTATTTTGCAACGTTGTGATTTTAACAATTTTAAACATGAAATCATGCCAAACTATTTCATGTAGATTTTTTTGTAAATACAAAATAAACGATCAGCAGGACATTCACAAATACCGAAAAATCTCCTTTTTTAGTTGTAGTAAGTCTGGTTTGGTTCATCAAAACAGGTGGCGCAATCGCAGGAGAAACATGAGCATGTGTTATTATTATAATAATGTTTATTTATATGAAAAAACAAGGCACAGTTGATAACTGTAAAATCTAATGTTATTTATTGATGTGGTCGCGCCATGCGACATTTTCTTGGCGGTGAAACCGATCCTGTAAAACTGAAATTATACCATTATAAAAGCTATGAAACAACATGGTGAACAAATTCCTGCAGAAACAAAAATTCACATCAGATGTTTTTTAATAAGAATTTTTTCAGTTATTATTTTGAAAACCTATTTTTCATTGGCCCATAAAAGTGCTAAGTCACTAGCTCTGTCCACTCTTTCTTAAAGCATGTGAGAATAAAAGTCCTGTGTTGTCAGTTGTGCTATATGACAGTTAAATTAGAATTTACGTTTTTATTTCACGATGTATGAACAGCACCCATGATTTTAATTGAATTGATTAATGAAAGTTTAGCTTCTGTCTCTTTTTACTTTCCCTTTGACCTCAGCATGGGTAAAGTGGTGATGCAGGGCCAGCCAGGGGCAGCCACTCGCCTGCTTTACCAGATCTACATCCTTTTACAGAAGAAGAAAAGATCAGGCGTGATGGAGATCATGCAGCCCGCAGCCACTGCCAGACTGCACTGCATAGAGAACCACATCTCCACTCAGGTACACACTCCACCAGACTGCACCACATAGAGAACCACAACTACACTCAGGAACACACTCCACCAGACTGCACCACATAGAGAACCACATCTACACTCAGGTACACTCTCCACCAGACTGCACTGCATAGAGAACCACATTTACTGACGTTAAATGTGTGGATAAAACGTATCCTGTTACAAACTCCACCAGACCTGCTTTTCCTGCATCACCAGTGCCCCACCTCTTTGTTGGCACTCGCACAGGTGCCGTGCCACACATCGTCTCTTCCTCTTTATTTTCTGCCTGCCATAGATCCTCCTTCAGGCACGTTTCAAGTTGTAATTACTGCTGGAGCAGTACCAGCCTAAGCGCTAGCATGAACGCATTCAGCACTATGCTGTCATGAACCACTGCCAAAAACTCCCTGAAGGCGAGACCCACCATAGTCTCCATATCAGCGGTGAGCTGACTCAGCTTCTCTCAGCGCTGACAAGTCCACCTCTGAATGGCTCAAAAGAAAGAAAATTAAGGTTTTGGAGAGGCTGAGTCAAAGTCCTGGCTTGAATCCCATTGAGATGTTGTGGCAAGACATCAAAACAGCATAGCTACCAGTATAACTGCATAGCGACCAGTATAGCTACCAGTATATGTAAGTTTCTTACATTAAAGTCATAAAATTTCTTCATAGTTATGTAGTCAGGGACAGAATATTAGGTAAAACTAGGTGTAAATTTGCTATGTTGTTAATTCTGTTAGTCAATAAATTTAAAAAGTGTGTACAATTCAATTACAAGTACACAGACTTACCAAGATTTTAAAACAATTTAAAAGACTAATGTAATGACCGCTTGAAAGATATCATGAAAAAAAAAAAAGATAACCTTGGATAAGGTGCTACTGAATTACGTTTCATAGTGTGATGCATGCTTTTAAGCAGTCTAATTCGACCAGTTAAGTATTAAACGATCTTCATGTGTGTATATATGATTTTTTTTTTTTTTAAATGTGGCAATGTCCAATTTCAGCAGTCACATTACAAAAGAATTTGTGGTGATTTTAAGGTTAAATTCAGTCTTTTTGTTCTGTCTTGATTCTTCATAGTATACATGTCTTGATTACTGTACATTTCTTTTAGGGTGCAACAGTGTGTCATTTCAGTCAGCAGTGGGGAGGATCTCCTATTTGCCTGTCCATCTTCATCCTCTTTCTGAACTGTTACCTCAGCACTGCCTCATCTCTGCCCTTTACGGCTGCACCTCTCTTTACAGACAGACCCTTTGCAGTCATATGGAATGCACCCACCCATGTGTGCAAGAACCTCAACATCTCTTTGGACCTTTCTGTATTCCAAGCCGTAACCACCACAACAGGTGAACCTGATCAGTTTCTTTTCCTCTTCTACACCAATAAACTCGGACTGTATCCATACATAGATCCTACTACCAAGAAGGAGTACAACGGGGGTATTCCCCAGAAGGGAAACCTAACTGCTCACCTGGAGAGAGCCTGGAAAGATATCATCCAGTACCTTCCTGAGTTCAAACCTGGCTTGGCTGTGATTGATTGGGAATCATGGCGTCCACTGTGGGCAAGGAACTGGGACTCCAAAGACATCTATCGGAAGCAGTCCATTCAATATGCTCAAGAAAAAGACCCATCTCTGTCTGCTGCCAATGCTGTTACTGTTGCCAAGGAAGAGTTTGAGAAAGCAGCCAGGTCATACATGATGAAGACAATGAATCTGGGGATCAGACAATGTCCAAAGTACCTCTGGGGCTACTATCTGTTTCCAAATTGCTACAATTACAAATGGGATGAGCCAGGGTACACAGGAGAATGTCCAGCAGTGGAAATAGCTCGTAACAATGAGCTTCTTTGGCTGTGGGAGTCCAGTACAGCTTTTTTCCCTTCTGCATACTTGCCACTCTCTCTGAAGGAAAGTCATAAAGGAGCTCTCTTCATCAGGGGTGTGGTAAAGGAAGCTGTGAGGGTGTCTGCTCTTCCAAACCTAATCTACACATCCCCTATTTACGTCTATCTGCGACCTCTTTTCCGTGATCAGAACAAAGAATACCTCAGTGAGGTAAGACTGCAGCTTCTGAATTTGATAAGGTAGTGTACTTGTTTATTTACAGTCACAGAATAGTTCTCAAATTTCTAATTCTTCTTTTCCTGTACTTTCACTCCTCCTCAGGCAGATCTAGTCAGGACTATTGGGGAGAGTGCAGCTTTAGGTGCATCAGGGGCAGTGCTCTGGGGTGCATCTGCTGACTACAACAACAAGGTAATATGGAATACACACAGTGCTATTTTTGAGAACAGCTAAAAGCTACATACTCAAAATGAGGAGGTGACTGAAATAATTTTTAGTCTCTAAGTTACTTGAGAAACCTCACACCTGGTGGTGGAACTGAACTGCCAACTTCCAATTTGAAAGCCAGCATGTGACAGTAAGCAGTTGCTGGCATGGAAAACAAAAGTTAACAAAGGGAGGGAAAACCAAAACTCATTATCTTTACCAAACTAAAATATAACATTTTTTGTCTTCACTATTTTCCTTTTTTTAAAATATGTAAGGTGAAAGATAACTCAGGAAGGACCAAAGTCCAAAGACTCTGAGCTCAAGAGAGTGAAACCAAACGTTATTAGCTAGATCAAGAGACAAATGCCATGTGGCAGTGTGAACTCAAGACTGAGGAAAGAACTGAGTGAGAGCTCTCTGTAATAAGAAAATACAAAGCTGACACTGGCCAACTCTAATTACTTAAAAAGAAGCTCTCTGTCTGTCCACACCTCCACTTCAGCCTTCTTTTCTGGGAACAAGGGAGGAAACATGCCTAGCAAAGAAGTGGGCAACTGGTGATGAAGTTAAGCAGGAGGTGCAACTACAGGTGTGATGGGATTGGATGGGGATGGAGCAGACCTGCTAGACATGTTCTGGGCTCCTGATTCTGGGCAAAGACCTCCTACGCTGCAATGCAGGCTCAGAAATTCCTATCCATACATAGCCATCAGAAACGCCTCCTCAGGAACTCCAATGTACAGGTTATTCTTGGATGCCCAGTGAAAGGTGAGGCATGCCCCCATTTGGAGGGTCTGAACTCGAACAGTCATACACTGTACATACTCTAAACATGTGGGGACATAAGTCTGTTTGGGGAGGCCACCTCCTGGGTCAGGCTTTCAACAAAGTGCTTCCTAGCAATCCCGAGTCCCCAACATAATAGTGTGACACTTCAGACCTTAGGGATTATATACTCTGGAGGGTGGTCAGAGGGTGGTCCATTCCACTACCTGGAGAGAGCATCAGTGTTAGTGTTCTTTGAACCACATGGTGGGAAATAGAAGGTGCCAGGGAGGAGGTTATAGTCGGGGCTTGAGCGTTGGGACAAGATGGCTCCCACGCCAAAATCTGCCTCCACTATTGCTGTATTTGAAGGATTGGGGCTACGGTCAGGTGGTGCTTGAGTTCTTCAAAAGCCTTTTGTGCCTCCGGGGTCCACTGGAACCTCTCCAATGCTTTCTTTGTGAGGGTGGCCACAGTGCTGTAATTCCAGATAAAGTGATGGTAAAAGTTGCCAGAAAGTCCAGAAAGCTTTGAACCAAGCAGAGTAAGGTGAGATGTGGCTACTCCACAGTGTTTTTTTATCTTATCAGGGTCCACACTCTGTCAACTCTTTGATGCAACTAATCCAAGCAAAGTGACTGAGCACGGAAAAGGGATTTGTCCAGCTAGACATACAGATGGCTCTTGAGTAAAATCTGGAGAATCTGCCTGACATGGACTATATGTTTGTCTAGACACTAGCTGTAAATGGCTTTATTGTCAAGGTAGACAAACACATAGTGACTCAGGGTCTCCTGCAGAACCTCATTAATAAAGCACTACAAGATAGCCAGGATGTTCATTAATTCAAAGGGCATGACCAGGTGTTCATAGTGGCCTGAGGGAGTATTGAATGCTGTCTTTAATTCTTCAAGGAAGAGTTGTACCCTGGAGGAGGTCTAAGGCACAGTCATATGACCTATGAGGGTGCAGAATTTGGGCGTTTTGCTTTCTAAAGACCTCCTAGGTTGTTTTAATCAGCTATGACTCAAGAGAGGTCAGAGCTAGCTAATGGAATGTCAACTGACTTGGAGGCCTTTCAAAGCAGGACATCCTATAATGGGACCTCCAACCTGGCATTGACCAGGTCAGCTAATCTAGGTGTGGACTGTGGCATTGCAATTAGTGGAACCCTAAAATAAGATGTAGCTCAGATGTGAAATTCACTCAATATGCAGGCTCAGCAGTAAGGTGAGGGGCCGGGTCTGCTGAGTGACCATTCCTGAACCGAGACTGGCCTTCAGTGACCGAAATCAATAAGCAGAAAATCTTCTGCCTTTTGGGGCAGGCCTGCTCTACCTGGGAGCTTGAGTCAAGGGACGTGGGTTTTGGGGGTGCCAGAGTGGACTGGGCTGAAAGTTCAGCCTGTTGGGTTTCTGTAAGGGTTTCTGCAGGGCACCAGAGCTGAAAAAATATTACAGGATAATACAGGATCTGCAACACTTGCCATGTTTACATGCAGCCTGATAATCTGTTAATAATCCGACGAATAGCTCAATTGGAATAGAATACGTCCATGTAAACACCTCAATCGGAATACTCTAGTCTGATTGAGGCCATTCAGAATACAGTTTCTATCCGACTGATCGAGGTGGGTAATCCTGTAAATAATCCGTGAAATAGAATAATAATATCCGTGTAAATGCCTGTATCTGATTACATTCCCAATCGGAAAGTTTAAGTATGTTCTGCATGTGTGTCACATCATAGTGAAAGTTTATACCGTTCATCATGGCGGAGCAGAAACTGGTCTACAGAGGAGGTGAAGTTAATGCTCTGGTCGGTGGTGGGACGGACGTCCAGCTTATGTGTCTCAGAACACGACGTCTTCCTCTCGGCCTTCTTTAATAAGGACATGTGAAGGAAGTTTTTCTGAGTCTGACATCATTTTAAAGCAGTTAAAAACAAAAGCGCTGTTCACTGCTGCTCGTCTCACTCTGATTGGACTCACGTGATGCTCGTTGTCATGGTAACGTCTACACTAAGCGGTTCTCTACACATACATGTAATTTTGGATCCGATTACTTGTAGTGATCATGTAAACAGAGATTTTTTCTATCACATTGTTGAGTAGAGTGAGAATAAACACCTCAGTCTTAATCTATAATCAAAATGTATTCAATCGGATTGGCAAAACAGAGTTGAACCTGCAGTCTCCTTACTGGGATGCAGAGCAGTAGAGGTTCAAAATTTATAACAGCTAACAACTAAATAGACCAGTACAAAAACTAGAAACTGGTTCTTGAAAAGAGGAGCTGATTGAAACGGCTCTGAACAGTTCACACCTGATCTTTTGACCTTTGCAAAAGTGGTGCTCATTGCCTAATTGCAATAATTTGAAAAAAAAATGATATTGTTAAGGATTATTGGAATTATTAAAAAGGAAAAAAAAGACATCTGAATCTAACTGGCTCATGGATGCATGGAGAAGATGTGTTACTATAAAAGTCTAACTACACTATAGCCTCAGAGACCCACGTTTGTATGGAATGCAGAGTGCAGAAAGAATGCTTTAAATGAGTTGTTAAAAAATGCATCAAATGTGATGCAACATTTATATAACTCCTGGCTAGGAATGTATTGGCTGCCACTTAAGGTTTTAACATTCAAATGGAGATTTTCTACATTAACATATGCATTTTTGAAATTTAATTGAATAAAATATTTGAATTTCAAACGTCATTTGCTACCCCTCTGGAAAGTTAAAATTTGAGGATGTTTGTTAAAGTACAGAGGACAGACAACCTGGACACTCCTCCATTAGACTGTTGTTTTATTTGACTCATTCTGTTTCTTCTCTGCCCTGCAGCCCTTATGTCAAGCCCTGGCTGCCTACTTGCCATCCACACTTAACCCTTATGTAGTCAATGTAACTGCAGCTGCGAAACTCTGCAGTGATACTCTGTGCCAGAGCAACGGACGCTGTGTCCGCAAGAACTCCAACTCGGACGACTACCTCCACCTCCACCCAGATCACTTCCAAATTCAGGCGGAGAACGGGAAACGCCTAGCTATTGGTGTACCTTCTCTAAGTGACCTTAAGTTCTTTGCAGACAAGTTTACCTGTCAGTGCTATGTGGGGAAGGATTGCTCTGCCAGCCTGTCCATTTCACCTCCCCAAACTCCAGTAGTTATTCAAGTGTGATTTAAGCAACTAGAAAGTTTTCTGTAACATAATTATGTTATGCTAATTTTAAACTTCATTAATACATGAAAGAACAAAATTTTTACTTTTTGAACATTGTGGCCACAGGTGGGGCTGGGCAAAACAGTACAAGGCACTTTGAGAGTTATTAAATAACTCAATCAGTGTGAAAAACAACAGTCAACTACAGCTGCCACACTTTGTGACAACAAAAAAATAAATAATGTCTTTGTGGTTAATCAGCTTAATCTCAAACTAAAATATGAGGAGAAAACTAACCTTTAAATTTTTATCATATTAGAATTGTTATGTTTACTCATTTGCCAAGTCTTCTTCTATAATGGAGCAAGGAATATAAAACCACTTCTTAATACCAAATCTCTCCAGATTTTTCCTCTTCCAGGGTCCTAGAACCTCTCTTTTGAACACTTCTCTTCAGCTTGTTCATCAGGTTTTCATTGGGTTTAGGTCAGGGGACGCAGATGGCCATGGGTTTAGGTCATGGGACGGAGATGGCCATGGGTTTAGGTCATGGGACGGAGATGGCCATGGGTTTAGGTTCGGGGACTGAGGTGGCTCCAAAACATCACAGATCCTCCACCATACTTAACAGTAGGAGTAAGGTTCTTTTCGTTTCATGCCAAAGCCATCTTAAATGTTTGTTATTTAAAAAGCTTGATTTTTGTCTCCTTAGACCACAGAACCAAAGTTGCATTCAAAGTTCCATTTGAACTCCAGGAGCTTGTGTTTGTGTTCAGATGAAAGAAAAGGCTTTATTCTACTAAATAGGTTGTTGGCATGGAGGAATTTTTGGAGACTCCAAAATTCCATAATTACTTGCAAATTTCCAATCACAATGCTTTAAATTTTGGTTTCTCTAATCATTCTTCTCAATGTGGGTAGGGGTAAGATAAACATACATTCACTTTCAGGCAGGTTCACTACAGCAACACTTGGTTTAAAGTGTTGCTCTAACTGAGAAGCAGGAAGTGACAGATGACCTTTTAAGAGTTCTTGAACACACAGGTATTTCATGAAGACATTAATGGTGTATTTCAGTGCAGGTTAAATGTCTCTCAGCCACTAGTTCCCTTCAGCACAATCATTAGCTATACCACACTGAAGAGTTTTCAGACAAATAGTCTGTTTAACTATATAGGTAGAATGACTGATTGATTTAGGGCAGGGGTGTCCAGTCCTGGTCCTGGAGATCCAGCCCCAATCAAAAACACCTGACCCAGATAATGAAGGCCTTCAGGGGCATCTGAATATTAGAGCAAGCAGTGTTTAATCTGAACTCTCCAGGGTGGTGAATCTCCTGGGCCAGGAGTGGACACCCCTGATTCAGAGTTTTGAAGATGTGTTTTTAAATCTAGCAACAGCAAGATAGCAATCCTACTGAAGTCTAGTCTGGTTTCTGAAAGTAACTACACACACACACACACATCATCTAAACCGCTTATCCTTCTGGGTCGCGGTGGGGTGCTGGAGCCTATCCATTGGGCAGAAGGCAGGAAACACCCTGGACAGGTCGTCAGGGCAGACAGACAGACATACACATTCACACACAGCTAGCAATTTTAGCATGTCCAATTGGCCTGACTGCATGTTTTTGGACCGTGGGAGGAAACCGGAGTACCCGGAGGAAACCCACGCAGACACGGGGAGAACAGGCAAACTCCACACAGAAATGACCCTGGTCGCCCGGCCGGGAATCGAACCCAGGCCGTTCTTGCTGTGAAATTTATATAAAGGAAGCCTGAGGTTCATCGCTCTAACACAGTGGCACAGTCTCCAAGGCTGTTCTCTGTCTGTGATCATCCACAGTCTGATTGAGTGAGGGGGTCCCATTTTACAATCACGTAACATTTGCTGACGGTGGTGCTCAAGTGCCCCAACAGACGAAATGCCCTCACATCAGAGACAAACGAGGAGGGGTCACAGGTTGAAAAATGAAGGGAAAAGCCAAAGATATAAATACACAGATGATGTGTTGTCTGTTGTTTTCAGTCACACTTTGCATCAACCATGTTAAAGCAGTGGAGGTCCACTTGTAACAAATGCATGTGTACTGAGACATGATGAGTTTTCATGATTTAAACAGCCATAATTTTCTTATTACTCAACTGATTTACATCAAGTTTGTTTTGTTATAATCTTCAAACATTTATGCATGTTGTTGATTACGTAAAGGTATTATTTACATTGTGGTATATTTGTAACAAGCCTCAGTCTCCACAGGCGGCTATACAAGACCGGTCAACGTTTAAATAAGGAAGCTGATTACAGCCATAAGAAGTGTCTGAGTGAATTAATGTTCAGATTTACATTTATCTGATGCTTATAGACAGTGATGGCATCTATTTACCAAAGAGGCAGCAGATCAAACACATCAAAAGCAGCATGTTTACGATCCAGATTTTTGAAATCTGAACATGTCATAAAAACGCATATCAGATATAAATCAAGTGTATTTATGGTAGAATGGTACAGCTGACAGTGTTACAGAACATTATCATTAGAAGTGTTGAGCAGATTCCTTTATTTTTATATCTGTGTACATATGGAATTCTAAAAATGAATAAAAGTGATATATTGTTATTTACCCTGCACATAATTCTCTTGGTTATTTGGTTATTTCTACTTTCTAACTGAATGTGCTGGTTAGCTGTTTGCAGCAGCAGGAAAATTATTAAGTCAGCACCTGATGTTAAAAACGTCAACACGAGTTCAGAGCAAGAAACTCTACCGTCTCACACACATCAGCAAATCCATCAGTGTGTAACTTCTAATTACTTCTAAACTTTATGCACATAAAATACAATAAAACCCCCAAAACACAGTTAGAAGGTGCTAATCTAGTATTCTATATGGATCAATAAAAATAAATAAAATAATAATAAAATAAACCAATAAAAATAAATTGTGAAAATAAAATATCACATTTGCTTCACAACAAAATAAGACACTCTATATAGGTTATTAAATAAATAAGCTTAATAAAAAACTAGAGTTCTCTGTGCTTCACCAACCACACAGTCATATCTGTACATAAACATCACAGAACCATAAATGTCGATCACTGTGTTCTTTTTGATATATAATCATATCCCATTTTCTGGGTGCTGTGTTCTGTAAACAGTTTAATTATTAACAGCTCCTTTCTGAATCTGACGCTCTTAAATTGTACAGACCGCAGTCCAGCAGCTGTTTCCTGTTTCTTTCCTGTTCCTTTTTTTACAGACAATATGTGGCCTAATATGAAAGCCTTTTATTAATTATTTGAGTGATTTAGTGTCTGAAGTGGTCCCACTTTATATGAAGTGTCTCTAATAACTGTGTAGTTACATGTGAACAACGTATACAGCAACAACAATGTAACTACTAATGATTTAGTCACTGTTACAGAGGGATTACAGACGTACAGCCTAGGTAATTACACATGCGTATCAACTTCAGTTCTGCCACATGATTAAACAACTGTATCTTAATAGTTATAACAGCCTATTCTCTATCATGTAATTACACAAGGGTAATAACATAAATGTATTTTTTTCCAGCAGTAAAACGAAGTATGTAATAACGTACATTAACACATTACTTACACTGAATCTGCCAGCTGTCCTAACATTTAGCTAGCATTTATGTGGCTCGTGCCGAGACACTGTAACCAGTTTCAGCTTTAAACCTGTAATGTGACAGAAGAGCAGACGACCCCTTATCTTAACATGTAACTGTTATAACATTAATTGTGTTGTATTGTAAAGCAGTGTCTATATCACCACTGCATTATTACACAGTACCTACATAACAACTACACAGGAACTGCCCACTTACTTTAAAGTGTAACTTTAACACTAAACTACAGGAAAGTTCCGGTGTAGTTGTTATAAAGATACAGTGTAATTACAGGTTGGTATTAATCAATGTGATGTGATTAGGTCACCTTGTTATAACACAGTTATTCCACAGTAGCTCTGTAAAACATAAATGTAATGTTATGTACAACATTAACTGCTGGAAAAGACTTCTGATCTGTAGTGTATTAAACAGATACACTTGTGTAATTACATAGGCTGTACTTCTGTAATCCATCTGTAACAGTGACTAAATCATCAGTAGTTACAGTGTTGTTGCATATGTTATTCATATTATTAGAGACACTTAATACAAAGTGGGACTGATGAAGTTCTTAATGTTAATAACATTGCTGACACATTATTGACATGCTCACTTTGACAGGCCTAATTAGTGCATATCAAAGTTAAGAAGGTTTCTTTTCTTCTCCTACAAAGTTTCTATTTCAGTGCCGTTACAATTTTCAAGAACTAAAACTGTCTTTAGACTCAAACTGTATAAATGTATTTGCTTTATACAGCATAAAGCAGTTAAAGTAGATGGAATATAACCTCAGATGTTGAAGAGATCTTGAAGAGCTACGACACATACAGCCGTCGTATGTGTGGGAATGGATACATTATTGTATAAAGAAATCTGCTGGTTGAATTTTACTGGGGTTTTTCCACTATAGCAACTCCTCCCATGGTCTGCTACCATCACTGCTAATCTCTAAAGCACATATGTATCAGTCAGATGCAGTGATACCACAGCCACGCCATTAGCAAGCTGTGACATGCACATGTGGGGTCAGAGGGGCTGTAACACCATCAGAGTGGAAATGGTAACTGCACCACTGGACGAGGAGCTGAGCACCTTTAAAAACCATGTCTGCGCTGAATGGGATGACCAGAGAAGTGAGGTATTTAGACTGCAGGGAGGACCAGCTGGACAATGCAGGAAAGAATGATGGCACTGAGCCACTGAGTCACCAGCACTGTGATCCATTGTGCTAAAATCCAAGCTCAGCATTAAAGCTTAAAGCTACCTCACAGCACACATGCTAGCAATGCCCATCAGTTTGCCCTTCACTGCAAAGCAGATGAGCAGATTTGGTAATAAAAATAATCTAATATGAATATGGAGATGTGTATCTCCAAAATGGCAACTTTACAGGAGATGGAAAAACCTACTTTACTTTCAATGTAAGTCAAAGTTGAAATATTTGGTTCTACGTCATTTTGAGCCGTTTCTTTTGGTCTGTTTATCATGAAATCATACAATGTAAAGGACAACAGGTGTTTTCAGATTATGTCCAAAACTGAAACACGACAAAACTATACAAGGTTTTGAACTGACAGCAGCGACATCTATATAAGCTATATAGATAGTTTCGTTACTGATTTTTCTGTAAAGCTGCTTTGTGACAACACCTGCTGTAAAAAGCGCTATATAAATAAACTTTGCTTGTATACACAAATAAAACTTTTTACAAAGCTTTCTTTAGCAGTTTTTTTTTGCATTTTTGGTCAACTTCACATTTGCAAGATGTGACAATGAGGTAAGAAACATGACCCAAAACTGACCCGTTTGAATGTGTACCCTGTACTGCTTTGCCACCAAGCTACTGTCACCTCGCTTCAAAATCTGTTTATCCCACGCATAGACATGTTTGGCAGTAGAGCTGTGATTAAACTGTGTGGTGTTCAGGTCTGTGGGACCCGTTTTCAATGTTTACCAAAAGAAAGAATAATGGTGGTTTATT